AGTCGGCGCGGTCAAAGGGGCCCGCGTGTAGACTCCACGGCCCTCAGTTTGCGCGACAGCCTGCTACTCCTATGCTACTCCCTAGGTGCCGCCGCTCGCGAGACTCCCGCCCGACGCGGCGCGGAGAGCGGAGGGGCTCTTCTCCGACCTCTGCGCCGTGCACGCGGCACGCGCCGACGCCGGCGCCGCGCCCGAGCTGCTCGGCTGGTCGCGCGCCAACGTGTCGCTCGATCTGGCCGAGGTTGGCGCAAAGATGCGGCGCGCAAAGGAGACGGGCCGGATCGGCAAGCAACTGGGCCACATCGTCGTCGGCCGCGAGCTGTTCGGATTGGGCGAGGTCAGCGACGGCGCGCAGCGCCACAGGGACGTCTGGGCCGCCCAACCGAAGCTCGGCCATGAGTGGCCGCCGTAGAGGTTTAATAGAGGTGTTTGTTTGGCGGGCGCTGCCCCGTCCTGGGCGCACTGGTTGGGGGACACCGTCACCGACGAGCGCGTTGGACTTTTCTAACCGGACAAGACGGCCACGCGCACATGACTCATGAGCCGCGCGGTCGGTACTACTTGGTACATGCACATGCGTGACTTTTCTTGTACAACCAAGAATTGGCACGGCCTGTGGCTGCAAATGCAGCGCTTGTCTGTCATTCTCCACACCGCTATGGCGTGGCAGACGGTGAACGCGCTCCTGTGTGACCGTCATCGCCCGTCTAGCGTCCACCCATACCGCGTTGGTGTCCCAGTCGTTGGTCGGACTGTGTTTCGCCTTCCCATCAATCAAACACGCACGATTCACACGACAGACAAGGCCAAAAGAAAGCCACTCGCGGAAGTTCACTTGGGCCCTCGGTGAGGCCAAGGGCCGCCTCGACTTTTATTTTCCCCCGCAAAGGCGCGCGATATGGAGCTCTATGCGAACACCAGACATCTTTTTTGATAATGATACGGCGTGCGGTGGATGGAGAGCACGTCCGGGCCCGTGTTGGAAAGGGAAGAGGTGTTTGAGCCGTCGGACCTTTGCTTAGTTAGAGTCTTGTTTTGCAGGGAGACGAGGGTTTCTCTTGCTTGGAGCACTTGCTCATTGTAAAATTCTCTTGCTGGCCAGTCCCGTGCCCAGTCCGTGTGTCGTGCACTTGGAGCACTTGGATATTGGAGTGCAGTTGGCAACCTCACATCCAGGGCGCCGGGGAGCTAAGAAGCGCACCCCCAGCCAGCGGGCCAGATGATCGCGGTGTCTGCGCGGTCGTCAACATCCTCGGCGAGGGTTCTTCTGCCCTCCGCTAATCGACCTTGTTTTTGTGGTACGGCTCTGTCTATATCTAAGATAGGACAGTGTGCAGAGTGTCTATCCCTTGAGAGTGGCCGCACCTAGAGGTACGGACGGCTCCTGAGCGCCGAATTCGCATCAATGAATTAGGCGTGCTCGGCCGCGAACGAGGATCCTCCGCCTCGCGCAGCGGATGGGGTTTCGGACAGACCACCCAGGAGCAGGCCGACGCGGTGCTCGCGAGAGATGCCCCCAGCTTCCTCTGCTCTCCAATGCGCCGAGAAGCGACGCGGGGGTGCTCGGCCCGCCATGGACGACGAACGCTCCGCCGGGCGCGCGTCGGCCGGTCCGGTGGCACCCTCTGCACGCGGCACCTGCCGGCGCCCCGACGACAGCCGTCGCGCCACCGCTGATGGAGGGGCGGTCGGCGCCGCTGCCGCCGCGCCGCCGGTGGGAGGGGCACTGGTGGTGGCCTGGGCGGCCCTCCGCCGCCGCTCGCACGGGGCACCCGGGCAGCGGTGGCAGCCTGCGCCGCCACGGCTTCGAGCGGGGCTGCCTGGCTTCGAGCGGGGCTCTGGGGGGGCGCGGTGGCCCTAGAGGATATCCATGCGGGGGGGCGATGGGGTCCCATGGCCCGCCGCAGGCGCCGATTTTTTGGGGAGTTTTTTGCGCGATTTTTACTTGTTTTCATGGGAATTCGGCGTACTTGCGGCCATGCTATCACGCCTTGCGACAGCCTGTCGGCGCTGCTGACCGTGCCATGCTGCACAATTGATCACCTGCATAGCTCACGGCCTTAGTATCCAGCATTCAGTGACGACCTGATCGTACGGCCAGTAGGAAGGTGTCCTTCCAGCTGCGTGCACGCTTCTGACGCAATGCGCGTCACAAACTGCCTCAGATTGGCTGCTGGCACTCTCGAGGCTATGCCTACACAGCCTCGCGCGCATGGGCAGTCAAGAGGGACCACGCACCTTCTCAGGACAGCACCAGTGCCTCTCTCTTGGACCGGCAAACGTGGTGGTCTCGTGTTACCAATGTGGGACCAGTGCGGCATCGCGCCATCGACAGCTCTGAACTGCGCCTCACCACTGACCGGGAAGGCCGCCAAGTGGGCCAGCACCGGTCGCACATTGTGGCAGCAGTCAGCAGTGCATGTCTGATAGCTAGACCAGCAGCGTCACGGTCGCAGGGTCGGATCGTGTCAAGCCTCTCGCCCGGCCGGCCGCGTGCAGACGTCGGCCTGTCTGCTGTCTGGAGTGAACTGTCGGCGGTCAGCACGACCGATCAGATCGGAGTTTTCTGATGGTTGGAGGGTCTACCTGTATGTACTCCTCGAGATCTCTCCAAATCTGCCTTCTAATCAACCGTAATCATTCGGGAAGTTGGTACTAGTGGAGACTAGTAGAGCCGGAGCCCCGTTTCCGCACTGCTGCGCGGCGCACGGTGCCTCCGGGGGCCCCCGCGCCCCCCCAGAGGAGCGGGGCTGGCGGGGGCCGCGGGGGCGCGCTATTCTTTTTTTCTACTAAGCAAAATTCGAGCCAATTGAGGAAACTCAAGCGGGCAGGCTGGAAGCACTGAGGGACGGCCGATGTCTGCCCAGTGCCAGACCTGATCTTAGAATCGCTCAACTTTCGTGCGTTGCACATAAAGTAGGAGGATGAAGGACCCTTCGAGTGCATCCTGGCTGTGGTCCCACACCCCACTGGTGTCCATCTCAGAGACCGCAGTACGGTAGCGGGATGGATACCACGTGTGTTTGAAAAAAACTTCGTAACTCCTTGGCGACGAGCCGCGGGCTTTTGCCACTGCGTGCCAGCCTCAGACAGCCGGGCCGCCCGAGAGTTTTACTGACGAGTTTCTCTCGCGGGGGCGGCCCGGCACAACCAACCCTGTGCCTAGCACAAAAAAAAATCTGGCGCAGCGGCCGGCGTGAGCCGCGCCAGATGTCGCTCACAAAAAAAAATCTGGCGACAGATGTCGACAGATTCGACGGATTTGACGGATCCCTTGATGGTCCGACGGGCGACGGGCGACCCCCCCAAACCCCCCCACCGGGTCTCGAACCTGCCTCCACTCGCTCGAATCAGGCGCTCCGAACGGCTTTGCAAGCCGGCTTGCAAAATTGACGACTAATGCTTCACTGCCTGATATAGTACCATTTTTCTGCTTCAGCATCAACGCCACGCCACGTTCTAGGGACGCAGAGCGCGCACTGAGAGACCACTCACATCGCTGTTGCGGGGCGGCAATGTGACTGGACTCGCCGTGCGCGCCCAGCTAACCCTAGCCACCAGCCTACCGCCATACCCAGGTACGGCCGCACCTGTCTCTCCACCTATCATCCCAACTCCTCGGGCTGCGCTACTCAGGCAGCCTCCCTGCCTCAGCTGTTACAGGCACCACCCACCGACCAGTCTCGACGACGAGCCGCGGCAGGGCTCGCTGCGCCGCTGCACAGCTTTACGCCACAACACAACATATCAACCAACGTAACCTCCCCCTTAGTGACCCACCCTTGCGGGCTCAGTTGCCGCATTAGGAGCCTTCGCACCGCGAGTGGGCTCAGGTGGGATCCACAGAGAGAGAGGTTCCATACACAGCCGCACTCTACACACCTTACCCCCTCTACTCGGGCGGCATCGTGGTGAGACCCTGGGCAGTCAGAGAGGCTGACAGTAAGTGGCGGGCTGAGAACTCGGGCCTCTCCCGACCCGCCATCGCTGCCTAAGGGAGGATCCTATCGGCCACTAGACCATGACAGATCAGAGGCGCACACGCCCTGTCCCAGCTCCCCCACTCCTCACACTGGGTTTGCAGTGCGCGGCCTCGCCGCACCTCCCTACCAGGGCAAACCCCCTCTCTCCCCCTAGGTGCTGCACTTGACGTCCATAGAAGGCGCGCGGCAGAGGCGGGAGGGAGGCGGGGAGAATCTAGCTCGCTCTGGCAGGGAGGCAAGGGTGTGATAGAGTGTTTGGGTGAGAACAGGCGGAGTGTGTATGCCTGTACGCGATTGGGAGAGCACTCGTGACGAGGCATGGTTAGGCGAGTGGCAGTCGCTAGTGCGGACTTGCTAAGTCGTGTGTGCTCCCTTTTGCTTGCTAAGACTGGAACATTTTTTTAAATGTTTGTTCTATAACATCAACGGCTAGCTCGTGCTTACTTCTAGAGCCTCCGCATCCCCGCCGTGCGGTACTGTACACGCTGTGGGCGCTGTGTGGGCGAGCGGCGAGGTCGAAAAGACCCGCGCCATTAGTCTCGACGCCGGAGGATCACTCCTCCACAGAGCGCGCGAGCCGCGTGAAGCAAGCGACGAAGAAGCCTGCAGTCAGGTCTTCCCGTGGGCAGAAGCGGCAGCACGCTAGCGCCAGCTGCGCGGGCAGGCCTGCGCCCGCCTCCCCCCTCCTATGCCACCTTGGCAGCGCCGGCCGCAGCGTCCATCCCTCGGCCGTCTCCAGCGCGGCAGCGACGACCGCCTCATTCTCGGCGCAGTGGACGGAGCAAGTCGAGTATACAACCTCGCGCACCGAAGGCCACGACAGAGCCGCGCGCAGCAGCCGCAGCTGGCCACCGGCGTACGCCGCAACGCTCTTCCCACCGCCGCCTCCACTGCCACCGCCTCCGCCGCCTCCGCCTCCTCCGCCACCTGCGCCGCCTCCGCCGCCTCCGCCGCCTCCGCCGCCTCCGCCGCCTCCGCCTCCTCCTCCGCCTCCGCCTCCTCCGCCGCCTCCGCCGCCGCCTCCGCCACCGCCGTCGGCGAAGAAGGTAGTGCCGCTGCCAGAGCATGAAGGGTCCAGGACCACGCACCTGCGGGGAGATGACGGGAGATACGGGGGAGATGTGGGGAGATATTTGAGGACCACGCACCTGCGGGGAGATGACGGGAGATACGGGGGAGATGTGGGGAGATATTTGAGGACCGCGCGCCGCGGGAGATGCGGGGAGATACGGGGGAGATACGGCGAGGTATTCGAGCCACACGCACCGCACGCGCGAGAAGCGAGCGGCTCCGCCGTCCAGCTGCGCGAAATCGGCGCGCTCCGTGGCGACCTCGGGGGGTAGGGGGGTAGGGGAGTAGGGGGGGGGGGGGGGAGGGGGGAGGGGGGAACGGGGGGGGGGGGGTTTTTAGGGGTAGGGTTACGGGTTGGGGGTTGGGCTTTCAGGGGTTGGTCGTTGGGGTCCAGAGGCGGCCGGTGTGGCGACGCGCGTCTCAGCGCCCATCGTTAGCTAAGGCCAATCAAGTGTCCTTATTATTACTTGATTAAGAGACCGGCGTCTCGGCACCAATCGACCTTAGTCGACTCTGAACTAAGGCGTACTTCATAGTCTATTGAGGTGGCGACCCGCGTCTCAGCGCCCATGGCCGCGACCGTCGCCCGCAGCCGCTGCACGCGCGCCTCGTCCACGTCGAACGCAAACACCCTCCCGCTGCGCCGCTTCCCCGCGCCTACGGCCCCCTCCGCCTCCCCCGCCCCCTCCGCCTCCGCCTCCCCCGCCCCCTCCGCCTCCGCCCCCGCCTCCGCCTCCGCCTCCGCCTCCGCCTCCGCCTCCGCCTCCGCCTCCGCCTCCGCCTCCGCCACCGCCTCCGCCTCCGCCAGCTTCGCCGCCAAGTGAGTTGACTTCTTGCCTGGCGCGGAGGAGACGTGATTAACACTTGTAAGCCAGACGCGACCACGT